TGGTCACAGGGCACCACGACAATTGATTTCCATCAACCACCACCCTCTGGGTCCGACCACGGAGCCAATTCTTCAGCCAGTGGATCATGGTGGACCTGAGGCCGCAGTTGGCCAGTTTTGCCAAGAGGTGATCATGGGATACTAGATTGAAGGCTTTTTTGAAGTCAAGATATACAATATCAATCTCCTCTCCCTTGTCCAGGTGATAGGTCACCTGGTCGTAAAAGGAAATAAGATTGGTCAAGCAAGACCTACGTGCAACAAACCTGTGCTGGCTATCCCTCAGGATGTTGCCATCAGCCAGTCCTTTGAGAATGGCCTCTTTGATGATTTTTTCTAAGACCTTCCCCAGGATAGAAGTCAGGCTGATGGGCCTGTAGTTTGCCAGATCCACTTTCCTCCCTTTCTTGAAGATAGGCACCACACTGGCCTTCTTCCAATCTTCGGGCACTTCACCAGAGCACCAGGAGTTCTGGAAGATCCGTGCCAGCAGCTGAACTATGATGCTAGCCAGCTCCTTGAGTACCCTGGGGTGTAAACTTTCAGGGCTGGCTGACTTGAAGGTGTCCAGCCTCTCAAAGTGTTCCTTCACAAGTTCAGCATTGGTGGAGGGCAATGAATCTCCCTCACCTGGGCCTCCCTGTCCCGTAATGGGCAGGGGCATCCCGTGGAATTGATGAAAGACTGACGCAAAGTACCCATTTAGTAAGTTGGCTTTTTCCTGGGCATCGGTTGTCAGTTGTCCCTTCTGGTTTAGCAGGGATCCAATGTTGCCCTTGCTGTTCCTCTGGCTCCCCACATATCTAAAAAAGGACTTTTTTATTATCCTTGATACTTGTAGCTAGTTGGAGTTCAGTTGCAACCTTGGCTTTCCTTGTTCACTCCCTGCAATTTCGGACCAGTGCGGAATATTCCTCCTTGGAGGTGGATCCCATCCTCCATCCTTTGTAGGTCTTTCTTTTTTCCACAGGAAGTCTGCTAGTTCCCTGGAGAGCCAAGGGGGCTGCTGTGCCCTTTTGCTGCCTTTCCTCTGAGCTGGAATAGCATTAGCTTGTGCATCCAGGATTGCTCCGTTGAGGAGCAACCACTCTTCCTGAACTCCCCTCCCCTTTGGGTCATGGTCCCTTAGGGCCTCACCAACAAGCCTCCTGACCTTTCAAAGTCAGCTTTGCTGAAGTCGAGGACTTCTGTATTGTTGACTGTTTTGCCAGCTTTACGGCAGATGGTGAAGGTATTCAGCTCATGGTCGCTGTCACCCAGCTTCCCATCGATTGTTAGGTCACCAATTAGGTCATCTCTGGTTGCCAGTACCAGGTCAAGCAGCGCTTTACCTCTCATTGGCCTGTAGACTTCTTGTGTCAGACAGAGGTCATCCACGCATAAGAGGAAGCTTTGCGACCGCTTGGATTTAGCCGAGTGCTCTTCCCACGAGATGTCTGGGTAGTTGAAGTCTCCCATGACAACCAAAAAACAAAGGTGTTTACTTTTAGGGTGCAGGCTGGTGATTATGCAGCCATAAGTCTGGAAAAATCTTTTTTTCTTCATTCTATCTTCTATTTGGGGAGGTGTGGTATGTGAGAAAATATGGTACTCCAATGCAGAGTATGGTGCCCTATTCTTTAGAGAGAACCAGATGTCACTCTGCAAGGATAACTTAGTCTTTGTTTATCTTTTTTTCTTAATATACATCAAAAAAGGGACTGGAGTCTGATATCAGTTATATGGGTGTAACTCTGGAAAGACTCCATTGCACCAAAGGAACGAGTCTGTCCTCACAATGTGTATCTCTATGAGGACTGTAATGGTTGTGTTACCTTTTCCAAATAGGGAGGAGATTAGCCATGGACTATACTCTGGAGGCCACCCATCATAAAGAAAAACTTCTGAAGACTGTTTATGCCCTCCAGGTGAAATCAGACACTACACTCCAGAAGGCAAGCCCACTTCTGAGCAACCACCATGGGATGGGCATGGTGACAGAGCACCAAGTCCACCAGCTGGCAGAGAAAGTCAAAGGCATCTGTCATGACTTAGACAACATCAAAAATCTCCTCTATTATCGACAGAATAACCTGGTGCAGCAGATCCCCAACCCCAATGGCAGCAGTTACGGGGGACCAAGTGGAATCCATTGCTCGCTGGATGGTTCTATCTACATAACTAGTGAAAATGCACCCTGTGTCCACATCCTTAGTTGCTCAGGCCAAACTCAGCAGCTCCTGCCATGCATAGAGTGGGGAAGGGAAAGTGAGGCCTTTTTGCCAGAAGATGTGACAGTGACAAGGTCAGGGATGGTGGCTGTAGCTGACATGTTGAACAGAGCCATCTGTGTCTTCAGCCATCACTCCAGGTTCCCCAAAGGAGAATGGATAAAAATTGGGAAGGTCAATTCCCCCAGGGGCATTGGAGTGGACTCAGC